TAACTCATCAAGGTAAAGTCACATGCCAAAAATCAGCCCAATATCTTCAAGCGTTTAGAAAAAAATTGCGGAAAAAACTGAAAAATTGAAAAGGTCGTAATTCCGTCAAAAATCATTGAAGCGGAATGAAATGCAAACTTGATCTGTAACTCATCAAGATACACTCTTATAACAAAAATCAGCTCAATATCTGCAAGCGTTTAGAAAAAAGTGTGGAAAACCAAGTGGGACAGACAGACAGAGGAACAGACAGACAGACGGACGGACATACTCAGAGGAAACCTATAGTCCCCTCCGGTTTCACCGGTAGGGGACTAATAATGTACCGGTTTTTTTAAAGCAATGTTCTAACTTTTTCATTGACTGAGAAGTTATTTTATCTCGGAACATTGCAATGTTTTCGTTCTTGGATGGTATTGATGATCTTATTGAAATATCAAAATAAAATACTTTTTAAGATTAAACATTATTACTTGATTAACATCACTTACCCGTTATATTATGTACATGTATTATTTGTCAACTAAAAATGAATTGATAGAAATAGACTTAAATCTGTGTCACTAAAGGCAATATGTAGTTACTTAATTTTCTTAAAGCCCTGTTTCCCCCCTAAGCTGTATATGACGAAGGCTTATAGGCTCAGCGGTTAATGTTGTACTTGAAGCTTTAGGTAAAATAAAAGAGTAACCACATATATTCTATAATTAGAAAGAAGAAGCTTAGCTGTATGTATACCTTACTGGGATTGGAGAATGAGGACGAGAGGGGTGTCATTAACTGCTTCCACTGTTAAACAAAGCTGAGGTGGAAAGAAAGAAATGACAAAACAAGCTGTCACTGAAAAAATGCTTTGCTGTCTTTTCTTAGGTTTTTCTTTTTTCATCATAAAATGATGCAGTCTTCATATACGAAAAATGTTATTTCAGATTTATACAATATATTTAACAATTCATCCACTAGACAGAAAAAAATGATATTTTTCAAGTTATTTACAACATTTATTCCATTTTTTTTAATGCAAATTAAACAACAATAACGTTTCTCTCATTTGTAAACACAGAATAAAGAAGCATACTTCATTATAGAAATTAATCTTATTATTTAACTATTCATAAATGCATTCTACTAAATTTTGTCGTAAAAAAATGTCATAACTTTGTATTTTAAAAAAATAAACAATCATTCATTTTTATCAAAAGTGTACAGTAAAAATAACAACCCTTCATTTACTGAGAAACCTGGTTGCTTCGGAGATTGATTATATTGCATGTTGTAGAAAAAAAAAATTAAATAATCAATTTGAATATTCTAAAATCAATCATCGTAAAAGGTTCTAAATACAGAGAGTACCAGGCTTTTAGTTGGCGATAGAACGTCATTTCTATTTTGAATTCTGCCGAAGATTATTTCAAACCTTGGGCTAATTAGGGAAAAAGAAGATCTGAACACCCTGTCAAAATGGATTAAATGTATTATTAACATATTAAAGAATCGTAAACGGAAATCTAAAGGCAAACGGTGAACCATCTATCCTTCCGTTTTCACTAAATGGAAGGTGATTAAAGAATGAGAGAAATTGATGATCAATATGTAATGGTTTTAGCAGACAAGGCTTGTAACAATATCGTTTTTATAAAGCTCATTATTATGAAGAAGTGACCTTGAGTCAGGGTCATGCCCTATTCTAAGGTTATAAGCAATCTTGTAAGGGGTATCAACTAGCAATGTTTCACTTTATAGTAAAATGTACTTGACCTTGAACTTGTCAAAACAACGTTGTAAAAGCGTAAAAGCCATGACACACTCTTGTTATGAGGAAACCCCATCTGTGTATTACTGACTTCTCAAGTTCACACATTTCTTACAGTCCATACATACAGTCAATACATCTTATTCTTAGTGACCTCGAACTTGAGTTAAGGCCTTGTCACACTCTGCGTGATACCAGCAATGTTTCACTAGAAAAAAGACGGTAACTAATTTATATTTCTCATCCAAACTCATCCAAATACCTTTCATCAAGGCCATAACACGCACTGGTTAAGAAAAATCCCAATCTGTGAGTTATTGGCTGAATAAGTTCAGGCATGTTCTTATGTTCTTTCAGACCATAGATCGGATCAACATAATTTATTGGGTTCAACACAATGATTTAAGGATTCATTGTGAATGTTTTTGTCCAGTTTGGATATTGAAAGATATATTGAACGAGTGGTTGTGAAACACTGATGCCACGGTATTGCAGCTTATGGCAAAGCTTTAAGTTTCTAAAAAATCCGAATCCAACTCCAACAAGGTCAAAGTCAAAAGAAAAAAAGTTATGTTACCCAAAGAAAGATCTCGTCTCAGGGAGTATAACTGTGAAATAGAAACCGCTAGGACTAAATGTTGAAAAGTATGGCAAATGTTAATTTTTTTTTTTATACTCAAGTCAAAAGTTAAGGTCAAGGGCAGATTAACAGTGTCCAAGGGAATGCTTGTCACAAGAAATAGAAATTGAGATATGAAAGCCCTTGCATTAATTAATCAAAAGTTATGGAAAAAGGTCATGTTTTTTTTCCCAAAAACATGAATATTTATAGGCTGAAATTTTTACGGCACAAAATACATTGACTTCCTTTTTAATGTGAACTAAAATATACTGAATTCGAAAATACTGACGAAGTGGTAGATTCGGGAAGGGTGGGGGGGGGGGGGGGGTGTCTCTTAACTATATCGAATGGTAAACATACATGTATGTACAGTTACAGTGATGAAGGATTTTTTTCTCTCTCTTACAATAGAGTAAACTTTGAATATATTTGTAAAGAAGAAATCCTGAAACCCTTCAAGCTCCAGCAAAAACTTGCTGTTTTTATTTATCTATTTTTTAGTGTATTTTAGTGTATAACAATTGAAATAAATAATATTTTAACCACACTATTAATGTACATTGCGCCGCAGAAATTTAATCCGTAATACTATCTATAATTCTCAGAAATAGTTGTAATATGTACATGTATTTCTATAGTAACAAAACGAAAAAAGTGTTAGAAATGAGTATTTTGGTGATTATTCAGCAGTTGGTTAATAAAGCGACCTGCATTATCATCTCTCAATGATTTGTGGTCTTTGACATAATATCAAAATGTTGCAGCGCAGTATCCGTGCATGTATGTTGCAGCGCAGTATCCGTGCATGTATGTTGCCGTTTTTTAACTTACTCTTGTATATGTAGTATAGTACGAATTGAATATATTTCAAACAACATTTATTTTAAAGATAAATTCAATAAATAATCAACAGTTAAGATAAAAAAAAAATAATAAAGATTGGAAATATTTTTTTTTTCTAGAAAATAATACTTTAAACCAGTGAACCGTTACTTTCACGCCCGTTTTCCCTTTAAAAAGAGAAGTCCTTGCACTTTGCATTTTCGAATGACAGTGAAGAATGAACGATGAGTGAACGCTGAACGCAAGGTGAACGAAAAGTGAACGAACGCTGAACGCTTTGTGAACGGTGAACACGAGCGCACGGTGAACGCTGAACGGAAAACTGTGAACGGAGAGCGGAGAACGCGCGCTGAACGAACGGTGAACGAACGGTGAGCGAAGGGAAAAATGGGAAAGTAGAATGTTTCAAGGACTGTAGTAGTGAATTAAAGGAGACATGGAGTATAATAGGTTTATAGTAGGACCGATGTCCATGACTAGGCTTACGTCTCTCTGTTCAAAGGTTCCAATACATTCACATTACTACAGTGTGGGCTGCTGGTTTCCCGACACTGTCAACATTGTCTTTGTTACCATTTGGAAATGCCGTGCCTAGTTTTCTAATCCAGTGTTCTTCTCGTTGTTTACGGATATTAATTCATCTTTTTTTGGAGTGTTTTGAAAAAGATTGTACATCTGTCTCCAGAACTATCTCTTTTCTTAATTCATGCTATCTGTTTTCTTTATTAAAACTATTTGTGAAATTATTTTGCTAATTTTAAATAAAACAGATGTTTCTTTGTGGACTGATATCACACATTATTGACAGAGTGGACCAATCGTTTGTCAAATTTCTAATTTCAACTTTTCTTTTTGTGTTTATTGCACACGATTTGTAATTTAATCGCATTTCTATTTCAGAACCGTAACGTATAAATGAAGCTATCGTTCCTATGCTTACCATCCACTCTCAAGCAGAATGTCCACGATGCGTTATCTATACATCTGCTTAATGGTAAGTAAACTGCCTTAATGTACGTTTCTTCATCAAATTTATCATCTGGCTTTCTTACAAATATATATATATATATATATATATTTTAAATTAAATCAAATTTCACTTAATTTGTGCATATCAATTGAAAAGCAACAATGAAATCATTTTATCATGCAAACAGACACTAATCAGCTATAAGTCATCACTAGTGCATGCAGCATGAAAGTAGCTCTCTGTATAAATGCATGAGCTTTGATTAGAATTCTCAATCTATTTCTTTGTTACCATTTCCTAATAAACACATGTCCTGTTTCATATGTTTTTTTTTTCTTTTCTTTTTTTGTGTTTTCAAACTCTTATACAATTGCCCGAAAGGTCTGTTTTAGAATTTCATAATAAAGATTTGGAATAGTTAATCTGCAAATCAATCGTTTCATAGCGTATTTATACAAACCTCTGTCCATAAATTGCATCGAATTTTTTCCTTTCGTCAATCCATCATTGTTCGTTAAATTAGCCTTTAAAAGGCAGCTAGGTTAAGGACGCCCATAGGAAAAACGCCTTTAAATATTCAGAAAAATGAGTATACTGTTGATATTTTTTTTAAACAGCATGAATTTTGATGAAAAGGAATTCAACTATTTGCATATGTATATATTTGGTCTCTGCTGGGTTCGGACAAAGTGACTTTACTGTTTACTGCTTTTCCGCCAGAAAAATAAAACTTAACACACATCCAATTGGCGTTTCCTAAGACCTGTTTATAAAAAAAATCAATCATAAATAATGATTTTATTAACTTTTCAGTTTGTGATGCTTCTGCAAATGACAGAGCCACTGAAAATAGTGGAAGTGAAAAATGGAAAAGGAAGAATGGATCTGCAAAGTAAAAGCAAACCATGCATTTAATCTCTCTCTCTCTCTCTCTCTCTCTCTCTCTCTCTCTCGATCACTCTCTCTCTCTCTCTCAATTTTGTTGAAGCTCAATTTAACATTTTTTAATTAAATCTAAAAAGTAGAATTATCAAAGTTACAGAATAGTACACTGTGTGTTTAAATGTGTTTAAATTTCCTTTAAAACGCAGTAATGTTTTATTTCAAAGCGGCATTTGAATGCTTCTTTGTAAGAGATAAGCTGTTAATACATTTAAGGAGGAACAGGACTTAAAGATTATTTCGATAAAAAAAAAACATCAATCATTTTTTTTAAAATTGATGCCGAAACTGAAACCTCTCATTTTCATCATAAACTAAGAATATTGAAAGAGGAAACTTGCTTCAGTTCATTGTAAAAAACGCTTCATAATCATATCTTTCTCATACCGAACACACACACACACACACACACACACACACACACAACTTTCATGTCACAAGAAAACTAAGATTAGAAAAATGGATTATTGATAAAATTTTTATTACCAATTACGCAAAATAATAGTAAAAATAATGTTCAAAAAATCCCTAACTATAAACTGAACTGTGATCTGTTAAAATTTTTACAATAAATTCTGAAGCTCAATAATTTGCACAAAAATACAAACCTTAACTAATAATTTTAACATGCAGCATCAACATTAGCAAAGATTGTGACGTTGATAATTAGGTTATGTGTCTTACGTCTCTTATGAAGACTTCGGTTTACATGAAGAAATATTTTGTTGATAAGTATGAATTAATGGACAAACCTTCAACATACAGTACATATATAGATAATTGAAGTAACACGTTTACTGTATATATTATACAGTACCATATCTTCCTATTGTCTATTAATTCTTATAAATATAAAAATATTCTCATAAATTTCTTATAAATTCTTATAAACACAGAAAAAGTTTTAAAACACTTTTCTACAGTTGTTGCATCCTTATCTTAATTCTAGTGTTATACAATTATGTGTAATTTTTAATCAAATTAGCTCTTTTATCAGTCAACAGTTGCTAGAAGCGTGATCTAATTCTTTTGATATTTTTTAGCGCTTGAAAACCAACAGTCGGATACAAAGACTTCGAGACCTTCGCGGTAAGGAAACTTTAAGATTTTTTTAATGTCTTGTTAGTTTCAAAAGAAATCAAAAGTAATTGTATTAAGTCTTTCAAAAGTCTCAATCACAGGATAAAACTGCACCTTTCAGTCAACTGAATGATCACTGAAATGTCTTGGAAGATGACAGAGCGATGCTTATCCATCACGTTCCAGGAAACTTTCTGTTACCTTTCAGTGAAGTGTCTTACTTTAATTTCGCTTTCTGCACCAGATTTTTAAGTAATTGCCAAGCGGGCCTAAGGAGTACAGAAAAATGCATGGATTACATTCAACAAATTACAACACACTTGACAAATATCGATGTGTGTTTAACTCATTGACTGAATAGAAAACAAACTCTCTCTCTCTCTCTCTCTCTCTCTCTCTCTCTCTCTCTCTCGACCGATCGATATGCAGAAATAATATCAGAATTAACCACTACTTGTGAAGGTACAGACATGTTTTTCAAGAGAACTAAGGATAGTTTCTTTTCTCGAAACAGAAATATTGCAGACATTTTGACATCTGAGTCTTCAGCCTTTGGGGTTTTACCAGACTTCTTACTGCTTCTTACATGTTGCATCTTTACTTACATTACTGTCCTTCATAGAAATAATTTTTTTTTTTTGAAAGTGAGAAATATTACCTTTTTGGTGCAATTGTCCAAATTTTTCCTGAGCCAAGCTGAAGTAATGTATGTAGTTATAAACCAAACTAAAATATTAAATACCATCTGATCAGAATCTACTTTTTTAAAAGGACATAAAATATTTTAGAAGAAAGTATGTACACTTCTCCAGATGCAGAAACTTGGATGCATTTTCCAGTTCTCCCTTTAACATTTCTTACAAGTTAAAAACATGTACAATTAAGAGGTATGTTTATTTTGTAAGCAAGGGGATTAATAAAAATGATCAATAAATAGATATCACGGCCGGTGTGACCGGTCAACAGGGGATGTTTACTCCTCTTAGGCAACTGATTAGAGCTTTTGAGTTTCAGGGAAATTGCTTTTAATGCCCTCTATAATTAATTGTATATTTTGTAACTTTTTATGGGTCGATCACTGTTTGTTATCTTCAAATTTTTCATTAAAGATTTAATACTGTTTTCTTCTTTCAGTTCCTTCTGGAATCGTAGACGACCTGGATTTCGAAAAAGGGCTTAAAGATAATCAGAGCTTTTAATCTGCCAGGCTTAACTTCCTAATCTTAAAAAAATTATAATTACAATGTCTAAGTAATAAAAAAAGAAGGAACTAAATTATCAAAGAAATTTGTATATGGCATCATATATATATATATATATATATATATATATATATATATATATATATATATATATATATATATATATATATATATATATAAAGCACTAAAAACCAACAACACTGTATATCCTAAGTGTCGGATCTACTAAGTAGATACAAGGTCACGGATGGAAATTTATATAAAGCACTAAAAATGACCAACGACACGAACAATAATAATTGTCAAATTTTCGGGACAACCTGTCCCTTCCTCAGGACAAAGAAAAAAGTTAAGAAGTCATAAAAACAAAGGAAATAGAGAAGCAAAAACACAACTAGCACTACTACTAAACTACCAAACACTAAATATTTACAATGTTACATGTTTAATTTGGAGTTTATAAACAGTTGTGAACAAAGAAATCCGGAGCGCTATGAATTGCGTCCGGTCTATCGGGTGTAGTCTGGTGAAGTGTGATTTACATAATTGAACGAATTAATTATCGCTAATTAATTACGGCCAACAGTAAATCGTACATTGTCTTATTCTCTCAAAATAGCGTAACTCTACATGATAAAAAGAAATTAAAGAAAGATAATATGGAAGGACAATTTTGAAATATGAATTGGGATATTTTATAAATTTGGAAATCGGAAAAAAGAAATAAACAAAAATGTGAGCTGTAAATATTTGGGTAGGTTGTTCCAGGATTACTAATACGAATTAACGGTAAAGTTTACACTATATAGAGAGAATGAACTTGTTTGTTACAATCCGGGATTGGGTCTAGTTCACGTTCATCCTGGCGAAGTCATTAAGTTTGTTAATACCATTAGGGCGGAATGACTTCAGCCTGTGCATCCAGAACTTTTCCTTGCCTTTTCTCTGCGCGTCTGTCCATCTTGGATTATGGTCAATAACCACTACTGTCATGTCCTCCCATTTGTGACCTTCAAGGTTGAAATGTTCCCCAACGGGTTCATTGAGTTTTTTGGTCCTAATGGTAGAACAGTGATTATTGACCCTCCTGCGGAGATCTCCTGTTTCACCAACATACTGTTTGGAGCAAACTTTGCAACTGATGAGATAAATGCAGTTGTCTGTTTGACAGGACAAATTCCCTAATATTTTGTAGCTGCGGCCTGTAACGGGGCTGTTAAAACTGTCTGTGTCAGAGCTGTACTTACAGAGAAGACATATTCTGTCAGAGCAAGTTTTAAAGCCCCCGTTAGGTAATAGATTGTCCAATCTGGTTCTTACTACCATGTCCTTCAGGTTCCTCGGGCGTCTGTATGCAGCCAATGGGGGCTCCTTAAAGACCTCTGCCATTCGTTTATTTGAGTGGAGAATTGGCAGATTCTTTTGAAAGATACCGCTGAGGTTCTTAAGGACGGGATGGTATGTGGTTACCAGAGGGACCCTGCCGCTATTGTCTTTTTCCTTGTAGCGTAATAGGTTTTGCCTGTCATGTCCCGCCATCTCATCAATAGCAGTTTGTACGGTGCGGGCATTGTAGCCTCTCTTGCATAAGTGGGACTTAAGGAGACCGCTTTGTTCCTGATATAAGGCATCTGTTCATCCCCTGTTCTGGATGCACAGGCTGAAGTCATTCCGCCCTAATGGTATTAACAAACTTAATGACTTCACCAGGATGAACGTGAACTAGACCCAATCCCGGATTGTAACAAACAAGTTCATTCTCTCTATATAGTGTAAACTTTACCGTTAATTCGTATTAGTAATCCTGGAACAAACTACCCAAATATTTACAGCTCACATTTTTGTTTATTTCTTTTTTCCGATTTCCAAATTTATAAAATATCCAAATTCATATTTCAAAATTGTCCTTCCATATTATCTTTCTTTAATTTCTTTTTATCATGTAGAGTTACGCTATTTTGAGAGAATAAGACAATGTACGATTTACTGTTGGCCGTAATTAATTAGCGATAATTAATTCGTTCAATTATGTAAATCACACTTCACCAGACTACACCCGATAGACCGGACGCAATTCATAGCGCTCCGGATTTCTTTGTACACAACTGTTTATAAACTCCAAATTAAACATGTAACATTGTAAATATTTAGTGTTTGGTAGTTTAGTAGTAGTGCTAGTTGTGTTTTTGCTTCTCTATTTCCTTTGTTTTTATGACTTCTTAACTTTTTTCTTTGTCCTGAGGAAGGGACAGGTTGTCCCGAAAATTTGACAATTATTATTGTTCGTGTCGTTGGTCATTTTTAGTGCTTTATATATATATATATATATATATATATATATATATATATATATATATATATATATATATATATATATATATATATATATATATATATTGAAAATAATCATTGTTGTACATAAAGCATTATATTCGTACGTTCAAATTTCAATAATAAAATATCTATAGATGATCTTTCTTTGAACGGAGGACATTGTGTTAAGTAAAAGAGTTATTTTTATAAGTTAAAAGGACATGTGTTTGTTAACACTGAAACGTTTTGTTTACCTTATTGATGAGACATTGCTTTTAATTTTCTTGAATTAAATGGTAAGCATTACTGATCTTATCTATAAGTAATAATTAATTCAGACACGTAATAAATAAAATGAAATTTAAAAAAAAAAATTAATCAATTTATGAGCAATTTACTAAAGAAACGAGAATTATCAAAGTGTCGGAGATGTTTCAAAATTACATTATCTAAATAATCGTAAAGAATAAATAAATGAAGTACCAGTAATAGGTAAATAATTGATTTTTAAATGACAACTGAAAGATTTTTGAACAGTTAATGATCGATTGAATAGGCATGGACAGCCAATGAAAGCTGTGTCTGACTGTAAATTGATGATAGCATGGAGGTCATCGAAAACTTCAAGATATTCGAGAGCTTTAGATAATGAGAAAAAATACATAATGAAAACTGAAAGGGGATTCAAATTTACCGTACCTTCACTTAAGTGTTCGAATGGTCACTGTATGTTGCCTTTCACCTTTGATTAAAAGTTCTCATTTTTGCCGTTTGAAAGGACAACATATCACACATCCGAACGTGTGAAAATCAACCCTCTTTCTTAAACAGTACTTAAGACAGTAGTACGGTACTGTACTATCTGAGAAAGATGACTTATTTTCACACGCTCATAGAATTCAAGGCTAGAAATGTTTATTAATTTTGTAAATCTGCATTTAAAAGTATAATTCGTGACAAACTATCATTCAACACTGAGTTTTTGGTGTTTAACTCTATTATTTCCAAGATGAGTATGCAAGTTTTCAAATTCTGATTTTACCAACATAACCTGTGAAGCAGGACTGTACCATGTTGGTTATAAGCATAAAAGGAATGCCTCTGTTGTGTGTTGGGGTCCGTGACCACGTGACAATGCTCGCAAAAATGCTGGAGAGGAGTCGAATTTTTATAAGATAAAAAGCCCAGAATTCATAGAGAAGGTAAATGCGAATAATAAGGTTTTCCATGAAGACGGAATACCTTAAAAACAAATAAAATGTCTTTTGGTATCTGAATTCGTGGCAATTTTTGAAGTTGATGTAAAATCGCAGCTAGGTTAGGGACTCCCAGAAAATATTCGCCTTAATATATTCAGAGAAAATAAATATAATTTGAAAATTTTTTAACATTAGTTTTCACGAATGTGAATTGTGATATTTGTACTTGTATATACCGGGTCTGCTGAGTTCGGCCAAAGCGGCATCACTTGCATCAGTTGTTTGTAAGGTTTAAAATTAGAACATATATGTACTACTACAAAGATCGTAAAAGTTCAACGATACACGGGTATCTCTCCGCTATATAATTTATTCTGTTCTGTTTGAGACAAATTCCTATATATCAGAATAGCTGGAAGCAACTTCCTTATGCTCAGGAATTGTAATTGTAAATTGTAAAATTTAGCCGTCTTTCTGTAAACTCAGGACATTAGATGTAATATGCACTGGTGTAATGTTATATTACATAATAAATAATCAATGCACAACTAGCTCCCAGTACTTTTCAGAAAGGTAGGAATACTACATGTAGTTATACGTGTTTAAAAACTCAGAATTTATAGTGAATTTGATATCGTTGAACTTTTGATTTTTTCGAGAGGCTGGACCACTCATTATAGCACGTAACTGTACTTCGTACAGCTATCTACACATTATCAAGTTAGTTTGATAATAAAATGCAGCCGTAACCTAGCTGCAATCTATTGAAACTAATTATTTTAACATTTTTAAAAATATGTGTGTCTTGTGTCTTGTTCGTACTATTTCATATCTATTATCATGAAGTAGCACACATTTTTTTTTTCTTTTTAAAATTTAATATCTACGAACCAAATTGTCGAGTTTTGTATGAGGGCAATCTGTATCGTTATCTATTCACTCTGAAGGCGCTGGATAATAATTTGATTTCTCTAAATTTTCACTTCAGCTTGTAAGAATTGTTTGAATTTGTCAGCTGGTCTTGCTTTTAAGAAAAAAAGAATGTGAGATTCATTTTAACTTAAAAAATTCAATGGATTTCTTGTAATTGCAAACTGATGCATAATAGACTATTTTCTCTTTTGACTAATATTCCTTATTAAAAAAAAAATCAGAATATGATGAAGGATTTTATTGAGAGGGTTGTACCTTCCGATGTTGGCATTGCATTGAAGCAGTTCAATGTCATCCAATAAATGGGACATGTTTAATTGGATGTGCTGGAGGTTTTGAAGGTCCATTTTGTAACAAAAGTAAATGGAATTTGAAAATATAACTTGCTCTAGAATTCATGTAGATTAAAGCAGATATTTCTTTAAGATATTTTTTTTTTAAAAATCATTGATTACAGGGCTAGCTATCTATTCGAAGAACACAAAACATTGTCCAACTTCTTCATCACATAGTAAGTCGGTATATACGCATGACATGATTTAGTAGCGTTAAGGTTGCTTTCTAGAACTGAAATGTTTATATATTAATTTTTTTTTTGCTTTTTTAGTGTGCAATGCTAGCTGGTATGGCTAAGAATGTCAAAACCAGTGTAGATATTGTAAAGGTTACAAACCGTGTAATCACGTGACCGGATCTTGTCTCGGGTTTTGTTAACCTGGATATTCCGGAGAGAAATGTACAGTCAACGTCTTTTCTCAGCTTCTTGCTAATCAAAAGGAAATGATAAACCTGATGAGGGAATTTATATCCTATAAAAGACGCAAAACTGAATTGAAGGAAAATGACACATCTCCCACGAACTTTAAATCAGAGCTTTATTCTATCTTGAAAAAGGTAATTAGAGGATTGCATTTTCACATAAAATATTATTTTTTTCATAAAAGTAGCATATTGTAGATTTTTTCTTCACTTAGTTGAAGTGACAATCTTAAATGAATTTTATCAATTTTATTCATTAATTTGACTGAAATGTGTAAATTTATGTATTGTTATTTATTGTTAGTTTGAACTCTGGTGATGAGTTAGTAACTCCGGATAAATCAAATAAAATGTAAACCCTTTTTTTATCAAAATGGGTTGATTTTTTTTATCTTTGCGTTGCAATTGTTCTTGGTTTCTTGGGGTACTTTGCGTTACGCAGCACTGTTATGACGCATTACGAAGAAATCAACGGAATATAAACGTACATAAATACATACATATTAAAACTGAATTTATGTTTGTGAAGCTACTATATCGTCACATGATTCTAATATTTATTTAAAAAATATTGTATACTCCGTTCTGTACTGAATTTGGTTCACGTTATTTGACAGTCACGTGATAAATGCACGTAATATGTACTGTATGTTATGCGTCAGAATAATCCAAAATGCCAGCAAAAATCAATCACACACTTTAAATTTAACAAAAATTTATTTACAGTAATAGATAAAAACCAAAAAGCACAGACTGACAGCAAGAATCCAAACATACATACATGTACAACAGAGTGCCCGTTACTGCACACAATGCCCCAGTGAGAGTATCCTATCCCAGACTTGTGCTCCGTACGCCAGTCTTCTTGTACGCCAGTCTTACCCATGCATACAATCGACAGTGTATTTATACATTAACATAAATCTAAAAAAAATCTATAAGTTGTAAATACATTATGTTACTTTAACATTGGACATTAACGAAATTCAAGCATGTTCTAGAAAAAAATGACCATACATGTTTACCATTCCTGGAATGTTCCAGAAGTTTCTTTATGTTGAATGGACACATAAGAATCAAAAGTCTAACAAATATCATACATAAAAGGGAAAAAAACACCAGTTTACACAGAAGAGAGAAAATTACTGCTAAGTACATACATGTATATTTGGATTTCAGCCCTGGGCTGCTATGCTTTAACATTTTAGATTCATGGTAAATTGTGGTTAACTACAGTTAGGCATAATTACATGAAATTCTCATGGAAAATGTAAATCCTAAGATTAAAAATTTTGATGATCAGTCCATCGCCGAAATATGAATAAACAAAGTAGATTTTTCCATATTGGATTTCCGTGTCTTTACTCCCCATGAAAATTCCATGTAGAAATTGCATACAGGTTACATTTAAAATACATGGGAATACATGTACTTTGTTTGATATTCACATGTACGGATTGGTGCATACACCTTTTATTAATGTGTTTTTACTTTTGTTTCAACGTACCTTCAAACCTATTTTCAAATCTTTATATTTATTTTCTTTTCCATAAAATACGAATTATTTGGCAAATTTAGGAGATGTCAAGGTGTGCGTCTGATAAAAATATCATTTTTCATTAGAGCATTTAGAGAAAAAACATAATTTTACCCACCAGCCCCGAAACAAAAATTCCTTTTTCCATCTAGGACAAATCATTATAAGTTCAACAACTAAAATCAATATTGTTTTGTTACATGAGAACTGTAAAAAAATTCGTTGTAAAAATTGAATCCATATTTGAACAATGAATATTTTATTGTCAAAAATTAATAATGATAGTTTTACATTTTTTCTTTCTATAATATATTCTCTATGGCTAATTGATAACAATGTCTCTAAAATATTAAATGATCATGTGTCTGAATCTTTAAAATATGAATAAATAGTGTTTTCTCCGGTAAGCAGTCCTTGGCTAAAATCAAAAAAAGATAAAAATGATTATATGATAAAATATCAGTCATTATAAATTCTCGTCTTTCTTAAAAGCTTTATGAGAGACACAGCATTGTGAACGGAGTCACATGGCTCGGATATACTTGTTAGACCAGAGACATATAAGAGAGGGACCGCTGACTCATTTTCGCGCCAAATTATCTTCATGTTTTCGCAGCGCCCCCACCGGGAGGCATAGAAAGACTTCCTGTCATAACAGCTGCTGTGTTGTCTTCGCAGCCTTTGGGGTAAATATTGCGATTATATTCTATATTTTATTATATATAGCCTGTACGTCAATTACTATTTACATAAGTTGATATCTTAGATGTATTTTTCAAGCTATAACGAGTTATAAAAAAAAAAAAAACAACGTAGAACTTTAGATCATCAGATGTTGACACGCAAGTCATGGTCACATCGATACAATAATTTGAGTTAAAATTTTGTCTTGTATAAAAGTTGTTCCCATATATCATCATGATAATTGTAGACTCAGGCCCGCAAGAACCGGTGAGCAAGGGGAAAATAATTTTGCCAGTATACAGGCACGTAGTTAAGTATCATTGTAAAAGGGGGGGGGGTACATCTGAAAATCTTGGACAAGCAAAACCAAAAAAAAAAAAAGAGTAGAATTGTCGGAAATCCTATTTCATGGAGAAGGGGGGGGGCAGCTTTCAGTGGATATTTTCAACAGTAAAAGGTTGTGTAAAAGGGTATGTTTGGAAAAGGGGAAAGCCCCCCCCCCCCGATACTACATGTTACATGTCAGAGTGTATACAAAGCTTAACATTAGAAACTACTGTACAGTTACTATAATGTGTCCCTTAAAAAAAATATTTAAATTAAAGTCAGACAAACTATTTTTTTGGCTCAACCAAAATTTCTAAAATAGGTTGTGTCCCCAGAACTGAAATTCCTTCCCTCCTATGGGGCCTGAGAGTTTCTCAACATAAGACCTGATGATAGTCATGGAATGTATTATTTTATCTTAAATGTTGATGGTTTTATGTAGTCTGTCATGTGATTGAATTTTTGTATATCCAAGAGTGAATAATCAGCATGTTATTTTTTTACATCATGTAAACATGTAGATACTCATTATTCAATTTTATGAAAATTGGTTCTTCATGTTATCTCCAGGTATGAAATCAGTTTCCTCAGCAACAGATACAGCTTGCCAGCAGTGGAAATGCAGAATGCTTATTTTAATGTGGGACTTTATTCCTACCACCATAAATCTATTAAGTGAGTGGCAATTTTCTTTCTATTATTTCACAATGATTTTAAAAAATATATCAACCTGCTACATGTAACTGTTAACATCTAAATTTGCATCAGGATCGATGTCGAATGCTGCCATGATTTAAAGATAATTATGCTCTTTGTGAGGGGATGCTCCGCCTTTAGGTGCCCTTGTTTTAGGGGGAGAATGTTTTTTTTAAAACTGCTTTTATAGTGTGTGTGTGTTGTTTTTTTTTTTTTAAATATACATACAATTGCCCTAACCCAGGTTTCATCTCATGAAGCTATTAAATTCTTTATTCATTGATTTGCATTTTCCTATTTTCAGATATTATGGTACCTCTACTGATTGATTCTACAAGATTCTAAAGTTTCCTGTTGTCTTTCAAAAGACCTTGACCTGCTTTATAATGGTGTTTAAAGTGAGATCTTAAAATGAAAAAGGCAACGAATAGTAGTTTAGTAAGCTGCAAAGCTTAAAATTGTACCATGCTGCTGCATCAAACATGGCCAAACTCGAAACGCCACTGAAACAAACATTGGCTTGTATTGCACTACTGTTGCGAGGTTTTTCAACAATACAGCAACTGAATTAATGATATCCTTAACTTTTAATGGTAAAATCTGAGCTATTTTCAGTCAAGGACATTTGTAAAGGCTTTTTTTATGACTTCTGAGAATTTAATGATTGAATATTTTTCCACATATTTTTCCACTCCTTGGACTGTAAATTCTGAGTAAAGAAAAGCTATGTGTGATGTACATTTCAAATTTCAATGTGATGTATACAAACTGGAATTTACTACAAGGCCTAAATGTGTGACAATAAAACATTAAGTCAACCAATACATATTTTTGTCTTTTTTGAACACCTTTTTCAAGTACACACACACACACACACACACACACACACACACACACACACACACACACATATATATATATATATATATATATATATATATATATATATATATATATATATATATATATATATATATATATATATATATATATATATATATATATATACAATGTTATGCTCATGCAAGAGTACATGTTTGTCATTTGAATTTGAATAAAGGACATAATAACCAAGTACCTCTACATATTCACAAAGAGTCTTTATCATCCTTTCTATGATTTTTTTCACATTCAGAATATTTAAATTGTATAAAGGTTTGTTACATATAAATATACTTTGTAGAAAATACAGGGTTTTTGTATGGGCAAAACATTCTTTAACTGTGTCAGCTTGCAGGGCTGATATACATGTATATAAAGTATTCATTAAATTTTATTTTTGGCTTAATAAATGTTAAGAATGCTTGAATTGATTAATATAAATAAATATACTGTAAACTTCAAATTATTTCATTTTTAATTAGATTGTAGATCTAACAGAAAGTCAGTCTTCCTGCATATAAGTACCACATAATAAGTCTAAGGTGTGCAATGTATAGAGGGCTCCTAAAACCATTAGCAGTACTTGAGTTGCATAGACCATGTGCACTGTGATGGGGTTTTCTTGATCAGCACCACTTTAGTTAATTTTTTTGCAATTGACTTTTTTTTTTGCAAAATGGCACCTGTAACAATGTTTTATAAATGCAGTAAATGATAAAATGTATGAGTTGCTTGATTAGACTACAAGTCACAATTTATGCTTGGTTTCATGATGGTGTATTTTGTGTTTTTAGATATGTTATAATAAAAAAAAAATAATAATATATTTTATATACCACAATATGATATTTTTAAAAAAGGGCTTATTTCAGCACTTTTTATTTTAATTTTAATGAATGTATACAGATATATTTATATAACGATATAAAAAAAAAAAATACGGGAAATACACAAACCTAGCTGCATGAAATCTAGCACGTAACGTTACGTGCATGTATAGGTAACCACTAAATAAAATAATACATGCCAGTGCAAAACCAACACTGCAAACAAATGGCCTCGTCAAAAAAGGTCTTCTTATCCTACACTATAAAATGCATATTACAGTGTATTTCTCATTGTAGATGTTGTACAGAAGACAAGCCATCATGAAAAAATGCAACTCGAGTCGGGGTTAGAAGATCGATTCCATCTATTTACTGTAGATAAATTTGTTCTCAATTCTTTGTCGTCATGAAAATGAAAGTAACTCATCCCCCTGCGATTAATGCCACGAGTAAAATCGGAGTTGTAGCGATGTTTACTACCCGTTCTATGATGAAACGCCATACTGTTTATAGTTTCTATGCCTCCCGGTGAGGGCGCTGCGAAAATCGGAACATCATTTTTCCATTCGGAATTAGAGTACTCAACTTAAAGTGAAAAGTCTAGAAACGTCCCGAATGAGTCAGCGGTCCCTCTCTTATATGTCTCTGGTTAGACTTAGAGTGATCGAAAGACAGTTGGACGCATTTCACAGGTTATCAAATAAACCAAAAGAAGATCAGGGATATCTGTTTTTGAACGTTTATTTAGAAATATGTGAATTCTTTGTGACATTGATTCAGTACAACTTTTATTTTGCTGCGTCGAAAGAAATGTGGACGTTATTTTGCAAAGAATAAATCGAGAGAAGGTGATAGTAAATAAGTGCACAATTTATTTTTAATTGTATACATACGGTAGCTAAAACTGCTATATAATGTAAAGACCGTATATTTCATGTGAACCCTCTCAACATTTAGATATATCGACGACGTATTAAATTAGCAATACTTACATCCATTCATATGTCGACTGGATATATCCCAGTGAACTTGAAATGAAAGATATCACAGGGTCTGAATCATTTATTTCATATTTGGACTTTTTACCAGAAAAAGAAATTGTTCATGGTAATTTAAAAACATTATGTACAATGTGGTCAGTGTAAGGGGTTAAGTTTGTCCGATTAGCCATTGGAAACGCTCTGGTTGAAAACAAAGACATATCTCCCATGAGAGCAATTTCTCTGCTAGAAAATGAGCAGCATACCATCGTAATTTCAAGCCTTAGGTTAGAAAAGAAATCATGCGCAACCTACAGAAAATTCTGCCAACCGATAAAATTGTTCGTACTAGAATTCTATATATTTGTAAAAGATGTCATTGGATTGCGTATATCACAGTGATAAGCATGAGACATAGTGCAATTGTTTTAGTTCAATTCCTGCACTATTTTTAATAAGGTAGAGCTTTACTAGGAAAATCAGGAGCTATTTGTTTAATTTTGAATGATCCTTGATTTTTTTTTTTTTACCTTATGTCAAAAATCTTGACGTGCGCCCATTGCAGAGGTGTCTGAGAAAGTTACGAACGACAACCCTGCGACGAAAATTGTAGTCTAACAACTATCAAAATATAAAAGGAAAAGCACAGCAGTTCACATAGAGGAATAGATCACTGCTTAGTACATGTATTTGGATGTCAGTCCTAGCCTGCTTCTCTGTAAGATTAATGATAAGTTTTGTATGTGTACAAGTAGAAGTACAAGTAGAAGTACAAGTAGAAGTACAAGTAGAAATTCAAGGAATTCACAAGGTAAATGGAAATATCCAAATTCAGATTTCACTAAACCTTCCATCGCCAAAATTTAAATCGACAACAGAGATTTTTCCACCATGGATATCCGTGTCCTCACATTTCATGAGAATTCCATGTATAAATTACATACGATTAACATGTAAAATATCTTGGAATAAATGTACTTTGTTTGATACTCACATCTACGGAATGGTGCATTCACGTTTTAGTAAACATTATTGTTTCAACATACCTTCAGATCTATTTTCAAAAATAATCATTTGAATTATTTTTTCTAAGTTCACGCACGTTTTTATATGATTTTACATAATATGTGAATTATTTGGAAAATCAAGGAGAAATGATTCTTTGCTTTTGATGAAGTACTAATTTTCATTATAGAAATCGGAGACAAAAAAGGATGCCCTAAAAATTCCTCTTTCCATGTAATACAACTTTTTAATAGTTAACCAACTTTAAATTAAAGCTTTTGCTATTACTAACCAAAGTACTGTGAAAATAATCACTCGAAAAATTCAAATGATATTTGAACAATGAAATTTTATTCTGAAAATCTAAATATGTTAATTTTACATTTTCTATCTATGTTATATTTAGAATGGCTAATTAAAAAAGTATCTGATATATTAAAGTATTGCTTGTCTGTATCTTTAAAGTACAAATACATTGTTATTTAAAATAGAATTTTTCCCGATGACCAATACTTGGCTAAATTCTGAAAATAGAGAAAAAAATTAATATCTGATGAAATGTCAGTTTTATAAGTTATAGTCTTCCTTATGATAGACAAAGTGTTATTTACAGAGTCACATTTGTTCGACTAAGGGTGATCGACAGTCTGGTGCATTTTAGAAGTTATCAAATAAATGGAAATGAAATGTAGACTTGACATATTTATTTATAATAAGGAACATTACAGGTTTTTTTCAGAACTGTGAGGGGCAGCTATATAAAAAGAAAAATGAAAAGCTTTTTAAGAATAACTCACTCAACTTATGCGATTTGATTACGTCAATCCTGGTTGATAACGTTAAATAATCTTTACTACGGATAACACAATGCACTCTGTTCTCCTCGTCAATACAGAGGCTTTACAGTGGGTGTGACCACATGACAGGGGACACATCCTCCTCTTGATCCTTCTTCTAGTGGTTTAGAGATCAATAATGTTGTCCTGATTACGATTCTTATTGTTTTTAATCCCCTCGCAACGGAGTTAAAGGGGATATAATAATGCTCTTGTGGGGCGGGGGGGGGGGGTAGTTTGTCCTCGTTAAAAAAGGAAGTGACGTGATTTCCATCGGGATCGACGTCAATACGTTCTATTTCCATTGCTGGAACTCTTCAAATTAGGGACGCGTTTGGTCGTCTGACTGGAACAACATGACGTAACGGAGAATACAACAAATGGCGATTTCAATTCAGATAAGAATGTTTAATGTAATCTAAACCTTTCATGAGAGTAATGAGAGTAACGGGATGCGTATTTAAAATAATACAGATTTTATTTTATCGAATATTCGAATATATTCGAATACTTTCATTGAATATTCGAATATGAATTATTGACAAAATTGACATCCCTAATATATACATTTATATATATAGTACTTTATTGAGCAGAAGAAACCGTAGTCGATTTAAGTGATCTACTTACCTTATGTTTAAAAGTAAAATTGCCGTTAATTTTGTCAGCTGATCAAATTGCCGAATGTAATTAAAAAAAAAACGTTAGAAGAGTAAAATATTTTTAGGGGGTGCCTTTAAATTCTTCAACAATTTCATCAGTTAAACATCGTCACGGTAGCTCAGTCTGTAAAGTGCTCGATCCGTGCTCGGAAAGTCGTGTGTTCTAATAATGGTCGCGACTTACTTAAGTCGATAAAAAAATAAG